TGCGGCTCTCTGGTGGGTGGGCGCCAAGTGTTTTTCCTGACACCGAGTGGCAGCGGCTCATCCACACCAGCCCTTTTCTGGTCCCAGCCCCTGGGCTGCCGCCCTTCTGTCCAATACATTGGGGGTACCCGGGACCCCCTCCTGAGGTTCAATGGTTTGCTAGAAATTTACCTGTTTATTGTAAAGGATACAACCCAGGAACAGCCAAACAAGCCATCGCAGGGCTTCCTTGCTCACCACACCTGCGTTGCCCTGTTGGCATAAGCTTAGATGTGGTCGGGGGCTCATTATGAAAGAAAGACACTCCTGTCACTTGGGAAATTCCAAGGGTTTCAGGAGCCCTGTGCAGGAGCCAGGATGAAGAGCAAACACGTGTTCATCACACACAGCAGTGTCCTCTTGGTCCAGGGGTGTGCCCTCTTCCCTCTGGTGCCTCAGGGCAGGCCCTTGGACCGCCCCCTTCCTTGAACGCTCATCTCAGGTGATGGTCTGCATTGGGGACGTCACCTCCTGGGCGTCCTTGGTCCCCTGGTCAGGAGAGTGGGGGTCGTGAAGTGTGGGCTGGCCACATGTCTCGTTGGGGTCTCTGAAGTTCATGGGGATTTTACATCCGACTGCGATGTGCTGTGTGTTCCATGCTTGCCTTGTGTGTGTGCGTGTGTGTGCATGTGGGCAGGTGTGTCATTCTCTGATGAGAAAGAAAACCTAACAGTAAACAACTTTCAAGTGTCCGTGAGTGGACGAGCAGGTGCGTAAATTCGATAACCCTTTCCTGTGGAATCCTGAGTGGTTTTCCAAAAGGAGGAGGCTATTCCTGTGCCTATAGACCGTCTGGGTGTGTCTGGGTGTGCCAGGTGGGCAGGGCGGCTCCCGTGGGGGTAGAGGAGGGGCTGGCCCCAGTTTTCCACCCTGAAGGTGCTTCACCAAGAACAGACATCTCTGCAGAAGTCCCTGCACTGTGTTGGCCGTGTCCTGTCTCGGGGGTGTCTGGTTTCCCAGCTCAGGTGCATCCTCTGCCTGTTCCCTCCTCCCCTCGCCCTGAGGTGTGTGGCTCCGGGTGGCCGCCCATGTCCCTCCCCCGTCCCCCCGCCCCGGCTCCTCCGTTGCCCCATGAGACCCTCGAGGCCTAGGGGCTTGTCACAGTCACCAGCCTGCTGGGTGTCACCTGGGCGTCTTCGCCTGAGCTCCCACACCATTGTCTGCAAAGCACCTGCAGTGGGCAAGCAGATTGCTTGTGACCCAGAGCACGCCCAGCCATGACTTTGGCCCAGGATGTTGGCAGACACTCCAGCAGCACAGTCAAAGGTGTAGAGGGGTGGTGGGAGGGAGCGGAGGGCAGCGGGGACGGTGTGGCTGACGTACTCACTTTGTCCCCATGGGAAGGAAGCAGTTGTGGGGTGAGCAGACCTCTGTGCATGGCTGTGCCATCCCATCCCTCACAAAGGCCCTGCTGGTGGTCCCAGGAGCTGGGCGTGTGGGGACCCCCTAGATCCCAGCTCAGCTGTGTCCACGAGATGCCCAGCATTGGCCAGTGATGTGTGGAGGATCTGCCTGAATGTGGGGTATTCCACCCCAACCTCATGGCCCCAAGTCCCATGCCGGAATAAATATAGCTACAGAGAGAGGGGGGAGAGGGATTTGCTTCCCACGGATCCCCCGCTAGAGTACACTGTTTTTCAAATGAAGAGATGCTGCCTCCAAAATGCCCTGAACAGCGGGTTGGCTTGTAGAAACTGGATTAACGGCAGGTGGGTTTTTTCTGGTGCTTTAGCAGTAAGGAGGAGAAGTGTTTCTAGTAAACCAGTGGCCACTAAGCGGGGACAAGAAGGTGCCATATCACGATCTTTTATTCAGCCACCTCCATGTCCAGCAGCATCTCAGGGGCTGGGCACCCGCCTGATCCGGTGGAGAAAACGTGTCTAACGTAAACTGGAATGGCCAGGAGATGGAAGTCAGACCACAGTGCAGTTCATTTCCCCGCCAGGATGGCTGTGACCAAAAGACAGACCACAGAGAATGCGAGCGAGGAGGTGGGGAAATCGGAGGCCATGTGCACGGCTGGCAGGAACGTGAAACAAAATGGTGCAGTCACTGTGGAAAAGAGGCTGGCAGTTCCTCCCAGATTGAAATAGTTTCCATAAGACCCAGCAATTCTACTGCCAGGTACATGTACAAGAGAAATGAAAATGCAGTACACACACGTCCACAGCAGCACAATTCACAGCAGCCTAAAGGTGGACACAGCCCAAGTGTCCATTGACAGATGAATGGACACACACAGCGTGGTCCCTCCACACACTGGAACACCACTCAGCTGTGAAAAGGAGTGAGGCTCTGACACACGCTACCACGTGGATGGACCTTGAACACATCACACCTGGTGACAGATGCCAGACGCAAAAGGCCACATAGTGTGCAACTCCATTTACATGAAATGTCCAGAACAGGCCAATCCACAAAGACAGAAAGTGGAATGGTAGTTCATTAAAAATTTTATATCACACAATTTACAAATAATAGTGAAATGTTTGGTACTTTGTCTTAAGTTCCACATAGCCTGTTGATTCTCAAGAAGTGCTTTTGTCAGATTTTTGTGTCATCGGCCACCCTGTGAGGGTACAGCTCCACATGCACCCTGGTGAGTGTGATTATACTTTGCATGGGACCTGAGGTGGAGTAAGTAGTTTTCACATGTAACGGCACCAGCCATGACCACGTTTACATTTAATCTGCATTATTCCCTTTTTTTTTTTTTTTTGTCTTTTTTCGTGACCGGTAACGGGATCGCAACCCTCGGCGTCGCGCCCGCACCGCGCTCAACCAGTGAGCAGACCTGTCTCCACATGGGATCCGAACCCTTGGCAGGAGCGCCGCCATGCTCCCAAGCGCCGCACTCTACCAAGTGCGCCACCGGGCCGGCCCTTAATCTGCATTATTAACAGGTTCCAGGTCATGTTGGGTCCAGTGAAGCAATAGGTCGGGCTCTGAGTTGTCATGTTGGCCAATTTCAAGGTGTGAATTCTCCAGCATGGCTGAATCTCAGGGATGTCCCTGGACATAGAGCTGGGAAACGATGCCGTGTTGTCATATGCTGTTTCTCCGCACAGACATGGCAGACATAAACAACCCCAGGAGCACAAAAAAGTAAAATGCAGGAAAGCAATGTTTAGAGTACCAGTTACCTCTGTTTTTGATATAACTTATTTAGTTGTAAGTTTGTGTAAGTTACTTTAATTTTCAGTAGTGGCTATGCCCAGTTGGCTTCCCAAATTCCTGCAGTTCTCCCCTGCCAGCTGCTCCCGCATGTTGCTGTGGACAGTGTCTGACTGTGGCTTCCCTGACACTGTGAAGGGGGCTCCTGCCTGTCCTCTGGCCAGCTTTCCCAGGACAGGGAGCGGCCGGTTCCCTGGGGGAAGAGAGGAGACAGCAGGGCACAACGGTGCCGTCACTAGTTCTTCCGTATTACCACATCGCCACTCTGTCCCCATGGGTGACATTGGGGTGGCCACTGGCCCTTCGGTCTGTGCATCAGGCGAGGCCTTTGGTGGGGTGGGCAGCGCCAGCATCTGTGAAGGCAGCCCTGGCACCCGCGGGTGGCACCATGTCCACCCCCCTGCCTGGCCCTGCTGCAGCCCACCTGGGGCATCCTGAGGGGGCGTGGCAGCAACCTGCTCCTGTCCTGGTGCTGCTGCTGTCCTGGGGCTGTCTCTGCCCCCAGGGCCTGGGAGTCAATCGGGTCTGTCACCTGGTGTCAGTGTGTGGTCACAGCTGCTATTTTGTCACCTCATCTACCATGAACCTCGTGGGCACCCACATTTTATCCTTTGGTTTCACCCTCCACCCCCCCAGGGTCCCATTCTAGTTGCTCACAAGAGCTCATGGCAGTGGGGCTGGAGGGATGGGAGCGGGGCTGCTGCAGTTGGACTCTGAAGGACAGTAGTGGGGAGGGGGTGGTGCCCGGTTCCTACTGAGCAGCAGGGGTCACGGGGCAGGTTAGGGGTGGCCCATGGAGGCTGGTGCATGCAGTCTGTTGAGCCTTGGGACTGGGCTAGGCCAGTCTCTGTGTGCCTTAAAACAGGGTGGTCGCAGGTGGGTCTGTGGGGAGCAAGGGTGGTCAGGGAGGGTGGACTGTGAGCTGATTCTCAGGGCCAGAGGTCTCTGTCGCCTCCCCTAGGGCAACAAGTTCACTGCCCACCTGGTGCCTGGCCCCGCTCAGGTGGCTGTCCCTCATTTTTGTCCCTTTGGGGCCCCGCCTTTCCTTCCCTAGTCAGACCTTTGCACAGGAGGTGGGGCCAGGCCAGACCCACCCCTGGTGTTGGTGACAGTCCCATGCACGGCCAGCTCATTCGGCTCCATGGTGCCACTGAGAAGTGAAGCCCACATCTGTATCAGGGCCCCAGGCGGGGGCTCCTGGGTCAGCCGCACAGGCCAGCCAAGGGCCCCCCCACCAGGCTCCTCTCCTGCACCCATTGTCACCCAACTGACCACAGTCCCAGGCTCTTGAAACTGGGCCCAGGGCTTTGGCATCCACCTGCCATCACGGGGAGGATTGGCAGCTCGGAGGCCCTGTCTGCCTATCTTGGTCCCACTGCTCTGTCACCTGCCACCTTTCTTTGTCTCATAACAGCCCCTGGGCACAGAGGCAGGCACTAGTGGGTCGGCTCTCTGCTTCTAGGCTTGGACCCCTCCTGGCCTCAGCATTCCCCGGGACCTTGGCCACCTCATTGGCAACCACTCTCCCAATGTGACCTCTGAACTCTGTTGTCATCAGCTGGTGTCTGCAGGTGGCACGTGTGCCTCAGAAGGGGTCCTGGGCAGGGACGTTGCCTGTGGTGCTCAGGCCTCCAGAAGTCTTTCCAGAACACCTGCCTACCCCACGAGCCTCCTGGTGTCGTCCTCCTCACCCCCTACTCTGACCCTTGTGGTGGCCTCACGACCTTCTGACCTGTATCTCTTTCTCCACAGCTGGGAGCCACGAAATTTAAGGCAGTGGGCCTGTGAGCACAATGTCTCCTTCCCCCGAGAGCGACCCTGAGGCCACCGAGGTGAGCGTTGCAGCCGGGCCCACACCATCATCTCAGTAGGCAGAGCCGCGGGCTGCCACCTGCCCACACCAGGTGCCATGGCGCACTAGCCGCGAGGAGCCGGGACCTCAGCTTTCGCAGTCTCGGGATTTGCACGGCAGCAGAGTCACCGTGGAGAGGCCAGGGTATCACAAACTTATGGATTTTGACAAGAAAGGAGGGAAAGGGGAGTCGGAGGAGGGCCGGAGAATGTCCAAGGCCGGCGGGGGCCGCAGCAGCCACGGCGTCAGGAGCTCAGGGACCAGCTCAGGGGTCCTGATGGTGGGCCCCAACTTCCGCGTCGGCAAGAAGATTGGCTGCGGCAACTTTGGGGAGCTTCGCCTAGGTGAGCCTCGCGCATGGGGGTGGACGGGAGGGGTATGAGGGTGCTACGGCCACACTGTCGCCTGTCACCCAGAGGCATGGCTGTTTTGGGGGTGGGGCTGGGTTGTTGAGGGTGCGCATGGAGCAGGCAGGCCACACTGCTTGCTGTGGAGGAGAGATGCTTTATTAGTCCTTTTCTGTTGTTTATAACAAAGTACATGGAACTAGTAACTGTAAGAAAATGAAATTTATTGCTTATAGCTTCAGAGGCTGGGAAGTCCAAAGTTCAAGGAACACACCTGGTGAGGGTCTTGGTGGTGGCGACAGTGACCCAGGGGTCTCACATGGCAGAAAAATGGTGGAGCAGAGAGAGACTATCCTTCTCGTTCACTCTCCTTTTAAAGCCCTCAGAACCACGCCCCTGACCACCATTTTTAATCCGTTCACTACTGCAGGTCCCATAATCTAATGACCTCTTCAAGGCCCCGCCTTTCATTACCGTAATAGGACTTCCCACCCTCAGCAGTTGCACTGGGGTGAAGCCTCAGTGAGGCTGGGGCGTCCAGTCCGCAGCACGTGCTGAAGCTGTGTGCTTTGAGGCCTCAGCTTCCTCACTTGCTACCTGGGGAGGGTTATGGCGCTCATCTCATGCGGTGGATGAGGGGATCCAGGGCGGTAGTCAATGTGGCGGTGTGGTGGTGGTCAATGCTGAAGAGGTGTGTTCTGTATGCTTCCAGCAGCCCTCCTCCTCTACCAAGGCGGGCAGTTGTTGCAGCCATGTTATGCCCATCCTGGACCAGGGTCCACCAGCCCTTTGCAGAGGCAGCTGGAGTCCCTTCTCTGTGCACTGGGTCCCACTCTGGGCTTGGGCTGCAGGGACTCACTGCCTGTCTACCTGCGGCCTCAGGAGGCCCCAGCTCCCCATTTCTCAGCTGATGACCGAACTTCCCTTGAGGGAGTCCACCTTGTCCCAACCCTTTTGTCTCCTCCAGGGTATATGTGCGCACACACACCCAGACACATGCAGACATGCAGACACAATGCATACGCATGTATACACATGCATATAGACATATACACAAATGTGTGTATACACAGATGCACATGCAGATGCGTACAGACACACACAAAAATGTATGCGCAGCCACATGTACATACATACACACACAAATGCGTGCACACACAGATGCATACAAACGTATACACACATGCATATAGATGCACATACAAATTTGTGTGCACACAGATGCACATAGATGAACACACAAATGCATGCGCACACACAGGCACCTAAACCCGGACATGCACACAGATGCACACAGATATGCACACAAATGCATACAAAGATGCACACCCAGATGCATGCACATGCACACAGATGAACCCACAGATGCACGTGTGCACTCTCATACACAGATGCACACACAGGTGGATACACACAGACATGCACACAGAAGCACACACAAATGTATGTGCCTCATTCAGAGACAGGTACACAGGTGCACACAAATGCATGCACACAGAAGCATGCAGAAATGCATACACACACACACAAGTGTACACAGGTGCATGCACACAGAAGCACGCAGAAATGCATACACACACACACAAGTGTACACAGGTGCATGCACACAGAAGCACACACAAATGTATGTGCCTCATTCCGAGACAGGTACACAGGTGCACACAAATGCATGCACACAGAAGCACGCAGAAATGCATACACACACACACAACGTACACAGGTGCACATGCAAGTGCATACACACAGAAGCAGACACAAATTCATGTGCACACAGACAGATGCACACACAAATGCCTGCCCACAGACACAGATGCCTGCCCATGGACACACGTACACAGATGCGCACTCATGTGTGTGCACACAGATGTACACAGACGCACACAGAAGCACACATAAATGCACCTGCATACAGAAGCGCACACACACGCACACACAGATGCACACACAAATGCATGTGTACACATACACAGATGCATACAGAAACGCATGCACACGCAGCTACACATACACAAATGCCCAGTCCTGTCCTCTGACCTGCAGCCTGCAGGTGGCCTTGTATGGCTTTGGGGACCCAGATGGCCTCACGGGTCCTGTCCTTGGGTGGTAGGAGTAGCAGCCTAAACAGCACAGGTCCCCAGAGATGGATGAGGGAGCCTGCAAAGGGGGCCGTGGGTGGTATCAGGTTTTAGTTTTTAAACTTTTAAATGAGGGTGTGTGTTCCCTTTTGTCTGGCTGCTTTGGCTCCACGTGTTTCGGAGGGTAGCAGGTGGTTGGGCGCATCAGTGGTCACTCATCTGGTGCTGTTGTGGAAGGTCCTCTAGGACACACACACACTGTTTACCTGTTCCCCTGCTCAGGGCACATGGGTGTCGGATTTGGGCTACTGTGACTAGAATTGCCCTGAGCCGCCTCTAGGAGGCTCTGTGTTCAGTTGCTATTATTAAAGTGCTGGATGGTGGAGCAGGTGTGTGCATGAGGAACGGCGAGTCCGCTTTCTGTTGGACACTCCTGCCGGTAGGCGTGAGAGTTTCAGGCATCCCACAGCCTCGCCAGTGTCTGGCGTTGTGTGTCTGTAAATTCTGAGCTTGGCGGTGGGTGTGCGGTGGTATCTCATTGTATTTTTTATTTGCATTTCCGTGATGACTCATGTTGAGTGCTGTGGCTTTGTCTATAATGTGTCTTCTTTTCTCTGTTTTTAAGGTTTTATCTTTGGTTTCAGAATCTGATAGTGCTATGTTTACTTGGGTTTTCTTTGTGTTTATCTTGCCTGACCTTCTTGAGTCTGTAAATTATCCATAAATTTTTTTCATTAAATTTGGAAAAATTCGAGCCATTATTTCTTCACGTTTTTCCTGCTTCGTCCTACTTTCATTCTTGGACTCCACTTACACGCACGTCAGGAGTGTTTGACAGTGTCCCACAGGTCCCTTAAGCTCTCTGCATTTTCTTTCAGCCTTTTCTCTCTGCTTCAGTCTGGATAGTTTCAGTTGACC